AAAAAAAAAAAAAAAACGAAGAAAAAAGAAAAGAGTTTGACCCCAAAAGTCTTCCTGCAAGACAGAGAGAGACTGAAATCACTGCAAATTAATTGGAATGAAAATGTCAGACACTTTTTTCAGAGCTGATCCCAAACCAATATGGGATCAGCTCTGAACAAAGTGTCTGACATTTCTTTTCCAATTAATTTGCAGGGGCTTCAGCCAATATGGGATCAGCTCTAGGAGAAGTGTCTGACATTTCTATTCAAATGAATTGGCAGGGGCTTCAGCCTCTTATGTGTAAGAGGTGTCATGGGTGTGGCTTATGCTTTTTTTTTTTTTTTTTTTTTTTTTTTTTCCCTGACCAAAACAAATCAAATTCATTATATGCTGGGAACCAGGCCCGGCATCCGTCACAACATCTACCACACTTCTCGAGCTGAGCAAGGCTCTCTGGCGAAGGCATGCAAGTAGAATTTAGGAGGCGTGGGTTCAATCCCCATGACTGCCTGGGGTATGTTTGGTGCCAACCAGCTGAGTTTTGTTTTGGAAACAAGTGCGGCAGTGGCGCGATTTGAAACTATAAAGGCAATAAAAACATGAACGGGTGAAAAGAGCTGGCGCCGAACTGGAAAGGACAATGGAAGTACGGCGCACTGTCGTCGGGCCTTTTTCATTCACTCTCTTTCCCCGCCTGACACCACGGCCAACCCCTGTAGTTATGAAACCCGGCCTGGACCACGGCGCGCAGTGATTCATTGCCCTTTCGGGTTTGGCGGCCGTTGTTTTTGCCCGTTCGTGTTTTTTTTTTTGCCCATTCTAAACTCTTTTATGACACAAATGGACCTACCCCTTTTTTGTCCTGCTTGGCCCCAATCCCTCACGAGGCTCCACCCTCCCACCTCTCAATAGTCAGCTTGATCCTCCAGCTCAGTATTAGTAGGCTCGTTGGCCAACATGGGTGTGAGTGTGACCTTGGACACTGCTGTGACTAGACAGGGGTGGGAGGAGATGAAAAGAGAGGCGCAGCTACTGGGAAAATGATGAGTCTTTCTGTTAGCCCGATCCCTGCTGACAGCCACACCCCACTGCCAGACTACCCTTCATGTTAGGTAGCTGTGCTTGCAGGGGTCCCTTGTATAGCCCTTTTTTGCACTTGCATGTCCAAGAATTACGGTCAGGGTCCTCAAAGTCTACCTGGAACCAATGACTGTTGGGAGCCTTACTGCAGTGTGCCTCTAGCTGCCCTGTCCTAGTGCCAGGGCTATCTGGTTATTTTGCCTGTTCGGCCTGTGGGACCAGGCCGTGGCGTGACCCCACAGGGCATGACATTGTGCTCATTCAGTCCAGTCCAGTCCTGCCCGGTACCACTGTCGATACCAGGCCAGTCCTGTGACGCCCAACCTCACGCCCAGCGCGACTTCCCGTTTCGGAGTGTGTTTTTTTTTTTTTTTTTTTTTTTTTTTTTTTTKTAACGCACCCTTCAGTGCTAGTGGTGCTGGGACGAGCAGACACCGCTAGCACCTGGGGAGGGCTCCATCTATTGGTGGGGAGCAGCACCTGCTGGAAACCGGGTTCAGCGTCCCTTACATAGACAAAAATTTCAAATCACATCAAATCTCATCAGAAAAGTGTAGTATGATCCTGCCAGCATTGATTACCCTGGGGTCCAGGGGATTGACTGAGCAGGAGATTGGGGGGGGGGAGGGACCTCTTCACCCTGCACCTGGCGCCAGATATCTGCTCTCTCTTGCTGGTTCCCCCCACTTCCAAATTCTGAAAACAACACTGTGTCTGTCTCAGAAGAAGGGCTGAGAAAGCCCCGTCGACGTCTGCTTATGTCGCTCCATACCATTGCATGTCCACCATTGCCAGCCGGTGAGGTGGGAAGAGGTCGGCCTCCATAGGGGTGGCGATTTGGATCCCGCCCTCATCAAGATTGATCCCGCTAGCGCACGAGTGGGATCACCAACAGGGACACTGGGTGTATCTGAAAGCAATGCTGGGAGATGAGGAAGTCCTTATAGCTAGCGTCTACGGCCCAAATGACCCGCTCGAAAGAGTAGATTTTTTGCACCGACTCTATCAAGAGATTCCGGTGGGTCGTCCCATTATCATAGCAGGGGACTTCAATATAACACCTGACCCATTCCTCGACAGGAGGTCATCCACTGGCCCACAAGGCCAGACCCAGTCACAGGACAGGTGGGCCCCGGACATAGATATGTTAGCTACATTCATGGCCACCCTACAACTGAAGGACTCTTATAGAACATTGCACCCTAATAAG